TCATAAACCTATGAACGGTACCCGAAATATCAAACTAGACATAGGCACGACAAACGGGGTCCGTTGGGACACCACGGGGATCGGGGAAACATCAAACGGGGAAGCCGGGGTCCCGAGGGGGGACAAATTTCAGCGGGTAGCCGGTGGGTGGTGGGCCACCCGCCGGCCACCCGCCAGTTTCTACTGTTCCGGGCAGCTGCCCGCCCGCCGGCCACCCGCTGCCAGGCGGTGGTTTACGGCTATGGGTAGGTGGCGGGTCCCCTACCCCCCCACCTACCCCCCACTGACTCTTTTCACACAATAACGTCCCGGGAACCTTTGTGGAACCCGAAACCATGCTTAGACACTTTACAACGCAATTACGACAACACATAGACAATTAACGGATCAAATACGAGAAACGAACGGCACATAACCTATCATGCTTTTCTAAACATAATCAACACCCAAACATGCGAATTCCCACCCGATAATCCAAGAATAAGATCATACGATACAACCTAGGGTTCTAATCACTTTTATATCAACAAGAATACGATTCATCTTCTAATTGCAAGATTCGGTAAGAATAACACACAAACATCAAGGATGTCAATTAATCATCAAGAACATCATAATCATCAAGAACAACACATAATCATCAAAATCCCAATTAATCATCAAGAACATCATAATTATCAAGAATCTCTCAATATCAAGGTTATCAAGATTCCTCATGGAATCATTATATCAATCATTAATAATAATCATCACCAATCATTAATACACAATAATATGGGGAAACCCTAAGGGGGAATCATAACTATGAAAATAGGTTTTGTTGAGACATGGGTTACCTCTTAGCCTTAATTAATTCCTTGGCTATGAAGGATCTTTCTTTAAGCTTTCTTGCTTTCTTGATTTCTTCTAAGGGAATTCTTGGAGCTCTCTTGGGGTGATGGGGCGTCTAGGCGTGTGGGAGGGGGTTTTAGGTGCTCCCTAAGTTCCCTATTTATAGATCCAAGGGTTTATTTAGAGTTTATTCCTATTGGGTTTAGGGGTTGGGTTTATATAATTGGGCCCATGGGCTATGGTGGCCTTTTTCCCTAATTAACCATTATAATTTATTCTTTCTCCTGGGTTATTAATTAATTAATTAATTAATCAGTTGGTTTTAGGGTCCGTAACATGGGGTGTTACACCGCCTCTTCGATGTGCCGAGGTCCCCACCTTCTACCATTGATACGTGGAAAGAAAAAGCGAGAGATGAAAACACACAATGCCCGGATTTGTGAAGCCGCACGGAACAAGAGAGAGAAACGGAATGGTGAAACAGAGACGTCCTGCACGTGGAAGAACAAAAGGAAGATTTGTTTGACTAGGTCTGAGCCACAAACAAAAAACCAAAAATATCCTTCAAGAAAAAAAAAAGACCCTCACTTAACGTAAAAACACCACACACGCGCGAAATATTCAAAACCAATCTATACCATCCAACCTCGCTATCAAACGGTCCCATATTGTCCACACATTTGTATTTTAAGCCCAGTTTTTACAGGAATGTAATTCTATATATATATATATATATATATATATATATATATATATATATATATATATATATATATATATATATATATATATATATATATATATTCCCATCCTTATTAATTTATTTTGTCATTTTATATATTTTTCTATTATTTAACTTCTATAATTCTCAATTTTCGATTCTTTGCTTCCGCATTATTCCACTATATTCCTAACAAGTTCTTATGCAAGTCGTATTAGAGCGGTTTAATTGAGAGTTATTTTCAAAGATGTCAACTGTTACTAAGTTCGATATCGAGAAGTTCGACGGGAAAATTAGCTTTTCTATCTGAAAGGTTCAGATGGAAGCCGTTCTAACCCAGAACGGTTTGAAGAAAGCGCTAGCTGGAAAGAAGAAGAAACCGGCTACAATGACAGATGAAGATTGGGAAGATTGGGAAGATTTGGATGACAAGGCACGTTCAACCATCCTTTTGTGCCTGTCTAAAGAGGTTCTACGTGAGGTAGTAAGTGAGATGACTACGTCGGATTTATGGTCCAATCTGGATACGCTATACATGGCCAAATCTCTGGCGAACACGCTGCGCCTGAAGGAGCGTCTGTACACAATCCGTATGACGGAAGGTACTTCTATTAAATCTCATTTGGATGAATTAAATTCTATTTTATTGGACTTAGAAAATATTGATGTCATAATTGACGATGAGGATCGCGCTGTTTTATTTCTTGTCTCTCTCCCTAAATCATATAAGCATTTCAAAGAAATTATGTCGTATGGTAATAGTAGTGATACCCTTAGTTTCGACAATGTTAAGTCGAACCTATTGTCCAAAGAAAAGTTTTACTTTGAAATTAAGTCTGAGGACAAAGGTGAAGGCTTGACTGTTAGGGGTTGTTCACTTGAATCAGGGAGTAGCAATAAAAATTCTAGATTCAAGTCCAAAGGATATAAGTCCAACAAATCCTGTAAGTACTGCAAGAAGCATGGTCATGATGTGACTGAATGCTTCAAGCTGAAGAACAAGCAAGAGAGAGAAAAGTTTGCTGAAGCTAGTGTTGTTGAAAGTGATTCAGAAGGCAATATTATGTTATCGGTTAGCTCCGGTTGCAAACGGAGCGAAACCGAGTGGATTCTGGACTCTGGTTGTACATTCCACATGTGTCCTCAAAAAGATTGGTTCGTCTCTCTGGAACCGGTTGATGGTGAAGTTGTCTTGCTGGGTAATGATACTCAATGCAAGGTTAGTGGAATTGGAAGTGTTCAGATTAAAACTCATGATAACGTTATCAGGGCTCTTACCAATGTTCGGTATATTCCTGATTTGAAACGCAATCTGATATCTTTGGGCACCTTGGAATCTCTGCGGTGCAAGTACATAGCTGAAGGTGGAGTTCTGAAGGTCATAAAAGGCTCTCTTGTTCTCATGAAAGCTTCTCGTTCTGGAAGTTTGTACGTCTTGCACGACAGTACTGTGACAGGTTTAGTAGCGGTATCCTCATCGATGTCTGATGCGGATCTCACTCAATTATGGCATATGCGTTTGGGCATATGAGTGAAAAAGACATGCATCTTCTGAGCAAGAAAGGCCTCCTTGGTGGTTCAGGTACGGGTAAATTACAGTTTTGTGAGCATTGTGTTTTTAGGAAACAAAAGAGGGTTAGTTTCTCTATTGCTACACACTGTACCAAAGATGTATTGGAATATATACATTCCGATTTATGGGGACCGACTAAATTCCAGTTTATGGGAGGTTGTATATATTTTATGTCTATTATTGATGACTTTTCTCGTAAAGTCTGTTCTATTTCCTGAAACATAAAAATCAAGCATTTTCTATTTTCAAGAAATGGAAAATACTTGTTGAGACTCAGACAGGGAAAAATGTCATGAATCTCAGGACAGACAATGACTTGCAGTTCTGCGAGTCAGATTTCAATGACTTCTGTGTGGCAAATGGAATCGCCAGGCACAAGACCTTGCCTGGTAAACCCCAGCAGAATGGTGTTGCTATTGGAACAGGACTCTATTGGAAAGAGCTCGTTGTATGCTCTCTAATGCTGGGTTATGGAAACAGCATGATTTTTGGGCCGAGGCCGTTTCTACTGCTTGCTATTTGGTAAATAGATCTCCACATTCATCTCTTGATTTCAAAATTCCAGAGGAAGTTTGGTTAGGTAATCCTGTCGACTACTCTATCTTAAGAGTTTTTGGATGTCCTGCTTATTCTCATTCCAGTATGGGTAAATTAAACCGGAGAGTTGTCAAATGCATTTTCCTTGGTTATGCTTCTGAATCAAAAGGGTATCATCTATGGTCTCCTGATTCTCAGAAAATCATTCTGAGTCGAGATATCACTTTTGATGAAAATACACTACTTTTTTCTGGAAAAGTTCCAAGTACAGATGAGACGCAGAGTACTGGTGAGAAGGTGGAGTTTGAGCTCAGGCCTATTGATAGTATTATTACCGCAGATGGTAGTACTAAAGATGACGCATCTACTAGCACTACACCTCGTGTCGAACAACAACAAGAGTTTTCCATTGCTATGGATCGTCCTAGGAGGACAATTAAAAAACCTGCTAGGTATGCTAGTGATGATGAAACCAACATGGTTGCCTATGCTCTTTCAGTCACACAGGAGGTTGATGGTGATCTCTCTTGAGGCTCTTCCTGTTGTTAAGTTCAAGCAGTGCTTGAGTTTAGTCGGGTTGTTCGAGTTGTTAATTCCCACAATAAATTTGATCCAAGGTGAAGATTGTTAGAATATGGCTCAAATTAGCCAGCCACTACCATACGACGTATTCCCGTGCATCACCCACGTATTTCTCCAAAGCGTCGCATGTATCCACGTCTTCTCCGATTTCTGCTGTGCATGCCGTTTTTATCTCATTTATTTTGTATAAATAGCTTAAGTAGCTTTGTAAGTCATGCATCAATTTGAATTCCTTGCTTCTTTATCTTTTAGCTATCTCACGTGATATATATATATATATATATATATATATATATATATATATATATATATATATATATATATATATATTCCCATTGTTCGTTATTCATGTGTCATTTATATAATTTTCCTTATTTCTATTATTTAACTTCTATAATTCTCAATTTTCGATTCTTCGCTTCCGCATTATTCCGCTATATTCTTAATATTAATATTAATTATAAATTTGTTTGTAAACATTTGAAGGAGCACGGTACTCTATGAACGAAATAGATGATATTCGAGAGTTGTGGGAGAAATACATTTCTAAAGAGTGCCTATAAGTTTAATTAAATTAAATATTATCTTGATTATTATGGTTTTGAATTGATATAATGTTTTGTTACGTTAACATTTATCTTGATTTTTATAGAGTTGTAGCAATAGGATTAGTTATTACCACCTTAAACATATATAGATCCCACCACACCTACCTATCCAGGGTGCATGCATGTAATGGTTAATCTTCCCACAATCATGAAGAATCAGTTAAGATCTTGGAGAATGGAGATTGGATCGTCTAAGGGCATTCTTAATAGTGGGGATTTTGGTGTGGGTTTTGAGGAGTTTTTGTAAGTGTGATTAGGAAAGAGAAAATGAGAAGTAGAAAAAAAAAAAAAAGGAGAAAAAGAAAAGCAAAACAAATATGAAAAAGGAATTTTTTTTTTTTTTTAAAAAAAAACGGAAAACATTCAGGTTTACGCGCCCAGAGGGAACGTTGAATTTACGCGCATGCTGAGCGATTGTTTTGATGCTCACGCGAGTAGCTTTATTTCCTTTTAAATTTTGATGGGTCCCACCGTTCTAATAAAATCCCATGTCTTGCAGGAGCTCCCCAAACATTCTCTTTCTTCTTATTCTCTCTTCCAAATCAGCACTATTCTTCTTAAAAACTGTGAAAATCCATCTATTGGGGATGACCTAAGGACCTTAATCCCAAAGTCCAACTAAGATATTGGAGTTTGTGACATATTCCCTACAATATTTGCCTCCATATGACATATACTTGTAGCAATTACGTACTAGGGGAAGAAGAGCTTTTTTCTCAGAACAATGAGGGTAGGTCGGGATTAAGCATATCTCATTCAAGAGGATGAAATAAGACACAAAAAAGAGGGGCAAATTATTGAGTGGACCATGGTTCACACAGTGTTGTATGTATCATAACAATAAGTGTATTTTTAATACACTAAGGCTGTGTTTGGAAACCCGGAAAATGACTTCCAGAAGTCATTTTCTGAGTTTTTGGTGTTTGGCTACACCTGAAAAATCCAGTCAACGGAAAACATTTTCCGTTGACTGGGGAAAATGAGTCCAATTTGACGGGAAATGAGTGGCGGAAGTCGTTTTCCGCCTCTTCTCTTTCGTTTTTTTTTTTTTTTTTTTTTAAATAATTCTGGCGGAACCCAACCATAGCAGCCCCATGTGTCTTCCTCTTCTTCCTCTTTCTCTTTCCATCGCCATGAATTACAGGTTTCATAACCTCCTCGGAGCTCCATACAGAGGGGGAAACGCCGTCGTAGTCAACAACAGTCTGTTAATTTCACCGGTCGGTAACCGGGTCTCCGTCACCGATCTCGTAAAATCCGAAACCGTAACTTTACCATGCCAGTCCTCCTCCAACCTTCGTCGCATCGCCGCCTCTCCCAACAGCGTCTTCCTCCTCGCTATCGACGAAAACAACCGGTGCCTCTTCATTAACCTTCGCCGCCTTACCGTCCTCCACCGCATCACCTTCAAACACCCCGTACCATTTTTATTTTTAGGCCACAGGGAAGCAATCGTTGGTTGTTTCTTCGGAGTTGATAAGAAAACAAATAAGGTTTCTAGAGTTTACACTGTATCGCGTGATGGAGCCATTTTTAGCTGGGGTTACAGTGAAACTGATGAGAATTTTGATGAAATGGATTGTGATGTTTCTGAACCAGTATCCCCAGGTACACCAGAACAAAGGCAAGCACAGAATGAGGAAGTAGATTGTAATTCCAATCTGTTTTTTTTTTTTTTTTTTTTTTTTTTTTTTTTTTTTTTTTAAGATTTAAAATGAATTTTTAATTCAGAATAAAATAATTAAAATATTTAATTATATCATTCTACTCATTTTCCAGAAAATGAACCAAACACACCAAAACAGTTTTCCAAATGCAACCAAACACTGGAAAAGGAAAATGTTTTCCGGAAAATGACTCATTTTCCAGAAGTCATTTTCCTGCTTTCCAAACGGACCCTAAATGTACATTATTTGTGTACTGAATGTACATTCAGGGCAAGCTGGGCCCTTGCCCAGGGCCCATGTTTGGGGGAGGGCCCCATCCTATATATATATGTTGTATAGTAAGGTGAATTAGTTTGGTTGGTAAGATACTTGAATTTCAACCTCTTTTAATCAAAGGCTTGTGATCCAATCCTTCCCTTAACGTTTTAGAATTCCTTTGCTTATATTCTAATGTATATTTTAAAAATTTATTTTTATTGATTTTTTGTGTTTAATACGGAGTAGTATTTTTAATTTAGTTTTTAAATCTATAAATTTTCATATATTTATACTAAACATATTATGAAAATTTTTTATATTAAATATATAAATTTTTATATTAAAATTTTAATGCAATTTCTAAATTTATAAATTTTTATATACTTATACTAAACATATTATTAAAAATTGAATTAAAAAAAAACTTTAATCATCTCATGTTAACCAAACAAGACACGTAAAAATAGGACGGAGGGGTTATATGATATATTTTGAGATTGAATTATAAAAAAAAATAGAGCAGATACTACAATGTAATAGAGCTAGTAGCATTCAAAAAAAAAAGAATTATAAAAAAAATAAAACCAAGACTATGTGGTTTAATGGTACCCGGGTTGGACTTCCATTTGGAAGGTTATGAGTTCGAGCCTCAATGGATGTGTTATTGGTTCTTTGTGTTTCAGTGGGTTGAGAAATTATATGAACAGATACTACAATGTAATAGGGCCAGTAACATTCAAAAAAAAAATAAAAAAATAATTTACTCTGTACCTTTTTATGAATATCTAATCAATGTAATATAGAAGCTTCTATCATATGTCATTATATGTATTCAAATTATTCTTAAAAAAGTTTAAAATTTATCTATTTAAAAGAAAAAGTATTTGTATTCAAAAAAAAAAAAGTATTTATAAAAATCATATAAATAGTATTTAAGATGTGTGATTTATAATATGCTTTATGTTCAAACTATTTTATCTAGATAATTATGTTTCATATCTTTTTGCATTTTTTATTGCGTTTTGAAATATTTTAATTTCTTGCTCCTAGTCAAAAAAGATTTTTAGCTTTCCATATGTTCGTAATTATTGTTTTATAAATTTTTAATAATAATTAATTTATTATTTATTATGATAAATGTTATTGTTTATAAGTTTATTCGATTTTGAATTATTTATTTATTTTTATAAACTATAATATTATTTATTTATGAAGGCACTTATACGATTATTTATTATTTTGCATTAAGGAAAGCATCTAGAACTTTTTTTCATGATTATTGTTGTGTATGTAAAATTGTTAAAAACTTGTTAATCTTATTTAAAGTTATTGATATTAATAATTTTTTTCTTATTTAATTAAAATTTTAGGCATGAAATATATATTAACCGGGGCCCATTTTTTTATCTTGTCCCGGGCCTATAAAATGATAGGACCGGCCCTGTGTACATTATATAATATAATGTACACTCAATATACAAATAGTGTACATCCTCTGACTACAATGTACATTTTTAATATACTAAAAGTATATTATTTTTATATTGAATGTATATTATTTTTATATTGAATGCATATTATTTTACAGTATATAAAATATGGTCCACGCAATAATGATTGAAAAGAGGGAATGGGATGAGGAAGCAATGAATGAGCCATCGATTATTAAGGAAGTGGGCGTGTAATCCACCATAAATTGCCCTAAAATGCATGTAATTCCAATAGAGTTCATGATATGCTTAAGGCAATGATAATGCATGAGGAATTGGAGTTGAAATGTTGTCTCGAAAGGGATTTCGTATCTTGTTATCTTGTACAAATATATCAGTATTAGATTTAGCATAGATATATTCGTATGAACGGACGGAAGTTAATCATCTAGGCATACCAGGTCATCACTTTACGCAAGCAGCCAACGATGTCCATAATAGCCGTATGAACGAACGGGGTCACCACTTCGTGCAAGTTGCCAATGGTGCAAGATCTTAGCCCATAATCTTGTAACACATGATCAATATAATCAACCATATATATCTCTTTGATTAATTATGTTTTTACGTCTTACTTATCTAGAAGCTAATTTAAACTCTAACTTAGATAGGTGGACGCAAACCCAAAGTCAATGAATACACATCATAAATGCAATTGAGATGGATAAAAAGTCATAGTCAACAAATCACAAAAATATACTCCGTAATATTCATCATGCATGCTGCATGCATCCATAAGTAGAAGTTTAATTTGCATGTTTGGACAATTAAAAACATTTTGCGTCTAAAGACATACATACCAAAAATAATTAGAGCATGCAATGGAGAATATACAACAAAGCAATTAGAAGCTAGTTTTTAATAACAAGTTGAAATAGATATACTGTGAAGCATAGAATAACCCAATTAATAGCAAATGTATCTATTTATTCAAGTAGTGCTCAAGAAATGATAAGTAACAAATATTTTGTATTGAGCGCAGCAATTATTTTGGAGAAAAATAGATAGTAAATCTTTGTAGCGTGTATCTCTTGTATAAGATATGTGACATCAAATATATAGTCTCAAGGAACATATGTCAACATATAGTCATGCAAAAAAGATAATTCAGTTAAGCGCATTTAGAAGCATAACTTTCGTTCAATCATTGCCATGGTTGCAAAACTCGGCCGCCTAGGCGCTAGGCGGCACCCATCCTTGCCGTTTTGGCCTATACTCGGCCAAACTCAGCGGCCGCCTACGCAGCCAACTCGGCCAAAGTCGGCCAAAATCGGCCAACTCGGTCGAGTCGGTCAACTCGGTCGAGTCGGTCAACTCGGCTGAGTCGGCCGATTTCGTCCGATTTTGACCGATTTCGTTCGATTTTGACTAATTTCGTTCGATTTCGTCTGATTTCGTCCAATTTTGTCTTTCATTAATTATTGATTTTAATATTATTATGATGTTATGAGTTATAAATTATCATTATTTCATTTATTTGGAGGTGTTATTTGATTGAATGTTGAAAACAGGCTCATTAAAATTGTCAAACTACAAGTCTGTCACTATTTTTTTTTTTTTGGTGCCCGCCTAGGCGCTAGGCGTTGCCCCGCCGCCCGATCAGCGCCTAACGCCTACTGCAACCTTGATCATTGCACATAGAATTTAAAAAACTATAAGCGCAAACAATATTAACCAAAATAATGAATGGATATATCATAGAGTTACCAACTGGGTGCATTTCATTGGTCATGTGTTTTGAGTATTTACCATCAATATACTATGCATCCCAATTCTCCTGCAAACAAAAATGAATTTGATTTTAATTTGTTACCCACATCTTTTTGGGTCCTTGGGTGTTAGTAATTTTTGTTACCCAAATTCACATAGTTCTTACTGAACCAAGATTAGGTGATTTGTAACCATTAAAAACTCTATAATCATAATGAACTTGTGAGTAATATTTTGGTGCGAATTTTTGAAAATTATTTTACACCTGGAAAGCAGATAGTTGCTTGATCCTATGAAAGAGAGCAAATCTAGAATTGGGTCATGGTTTGTCTTCAAGCAACCAATCTTGTTCAGGGGGGATATAATCTTCGTGTCTCAATCCTTGGATTTCTTCCCATATTCCTATGAGGGCTTGATGCACTTGACTCGTTGGTTCTCTTTTGAGACACAAATTTTTGCCTTTTAAAATTTTGTTCCCTTACTGAGACATTATTATTTAGATTCGGCCTCGCAACTAATTTTTGGGCATTAAATTAATTTGATTACCAAATCCTTGTCTCATTGTGCTATACTCACTCTTCACAAATTTTACTACTGGAACTTTATTGGTTAAAGTAGTAGTAGAATTGAATTAGTTAGTTTTCTCGGGGTTTGAGAACATGATGGATCGTAGCTTAGTCACGTTTTATCTCCTGCGGGTTTTTGCATACTTACCAATTTATTCATTATTTTGGATGAATAATGCGTAAATGATGCGATTACTTCCCGATGGCTATGTTCTCTAACCCCCTTAGCTTTGCACTCTTCTTGAAGTCGAACATTTTTGGCTTTCAAGTTACTCATTTCATTTTGAGCATTTCGCAATTTTTGCGACATTTCTTCCTTTTCAAGAATTAACGAATAATTGCGCTCTTTGATTTGAGAATGAGTGTCCATTATTTCTTGACAATTGATAAACATATTCTTACACTTTAATTTATATAGGTTTTTATAGTATATTTATATCAATTATTTGTTATTATATTTTATTTTAATGTTTTTAGAGTTCAAGAGTTGATTAGTTAAAATAAGTGTTTTATACTAATTTTGGGGCAAATTATTATGTGGACCATTGTAACACCCCGTGTTACGACCTTCAAATTCAAATTAATTATTAAATTAATCCAACTAATTAAAATAATTAAAAGGGATTTAATCCAATTATAATCCCCTTAATTAATTACTTAGGTGGTCCGCAATGGATCATGGACCCTTACCTAAGCAAGGAACCTTAAACCCATAGGGAATGGGGGAAAGCGGGCCTTATTACTCAAACCTTGAATAGGTTTCAATTAGACATATAAATAGGAGATTAGGAAGCAGATAGAACCCTTCCTCTCCCTTCTCTCACACGAAATCACTCACATGAACCCAAGCCAAGGAATTCCCCCACCAACTAGCCTAGGGAGGACAATCGGAAGAAGAATCTTAGAGAAGAACCTTAGTAGCCAAGGATAGTGATTAGGGCTTAGAGGTAAT